ATGGGATTATGAGGACATGAGTCCTCCATAAATTGATAGGTATTTATATATTTTAAGAGAACTTTAACAGTAGCTTGACTAACAGTAACCTCTTCCACCAGTCTCAAGACTTACAAATGCACATAGTAGGATGAGTCTGGCCTCATGCCTAGATCTCTTGCACCCGAAGTAAGAGGAGTAGGGAAGACAATAGGATTTGGAAAGCTCATTTACAGTAAAAATGAAAATGAGTAATAAGTCATCTTTGTGAGCAGCCTAATAATTATTTTTATTATAATAAAAATTTTTAGAATTGAAAACATAAACATGGAATTAAAGAACAAACTTAGACTGAAAATGGAAAAGAAACACAATGAAACCAGCAAGTAGATGGACTGAAGGATAAAGGAAACAAAGGCAAAGTATAATTTATTATGAAGTCATATGTACCAATGCTTCAGATGAATATAGTCATCATGTATAGCAAACATATACTAATAAACATTTTTAAAAGTCATATAGAAGGAGCAATACTGAGATTATCAATTGTCACGTTGTTTTTAGACTTCTGATTGGAGGTACAGGACTGGCAGCTGTATTCATGAACTCATTAAACAGGTTTCATCAACCACCTATGATGTACAAGGGGCAATCAAAATTATGGTGAATATTTGAATTTCAAAAATTCTTATTATAGTGAATGGCACATTGCCAAGAACAGTAAGATAAGTATGTTCAAAGCCAGAGGGAGTACTTTGAGGGGGAATAATGTCTTTCGCTGCAATATATTCTTTTTATTTAGATATTCACCATATGTTTTGATCATTGCTCATTGGTTAACCATGCTGGCAGGCAGTTTCCGTCAACTGAAAAGATTATGATGCTTTCTCATCCACATTATTCCACCAGCTCTGACACCCCATGGCCTGATGGGGCAGCTTTTGACAGGCTCTGAAGGACTCATGGTCTCTTGTGTCTCTACTAGTTTAGCAAGTTAGGAACTGGTTCTCAGAAACACCTGGTCATCACTGAGTGGCTTTTGTTAAGAATCCTGGGAGCCTCTACTTCTGCTCTTCCTCAGGACTAGCCCGTGTCCCAGACAGTCTCCTGCTCTGTGGCTGAATGTTCTGTCAGCACTGCTTGGTGACCAGGCACTGTGCTGACTACCATAGCATCAGCAGCTTCTTCCATTTTTGGAAATTAAATTTCATCATTGAATGAAATCCATGAACAGTTATACCATGCAGCAGTCATCCACCTCCTGCCACTCGGTTACCTCCTTACCCCAGAGCGTCTGCCTTCCACCACCATGGAAGAGGCACCAAAAAGTACTCCCAAAAGTTCTTGTTGTAGAAGCTTCGCAGTCTACCACCCTAACATTTCCAAGTGTTGCCCATACATATATCAAGTGTGACTGAAATATATGGATAATGTATAAACTTTTAAAAGAATTATTAGAGTAAAAGACACAGTTCCACTAACTCCCCTCAAAAAACCACATCTTGCTTTGGACACATTGCTTAGCACATTGTTCTGGCCACTTCTTGAGGATGTTCTGGAGGTCCTCTCTCCTGAGTGCCTTTATGAAATGTGATTAAAAGCACAGGGAATGCTGCTGCTGAGCGCCATCCCATAGAAAAGCAGGCCTGTAAAAACATTACTGTGTATCCTCCTCCACCTTGTTCAGTGGCTCTTGCATTGTGTGATTTATGGCTCTTCCCCACAGTCAAAATGACCAGAAAGGTAAGTGTTTTGAATCCATGCAGAACATCAAGGCATCCGTGACAACACAGCTAACGACCCTCACCTTTTCATTCACACCTCATACAATCCACCCTCTGTGTCTTCAGTTCCATTGCTGAAGAGTCAACTAAGCACAGGTCAGAATACTTGAATAAGGAAATTACACCTGCATTGAATATGCACAGACTTATTTATTGTCACTACTCTAAACAGTACAGTTTAGCAACTATTTATACAGTTACATTCTATTCTTCTAAGTAATCTAGTTGTAACTTAAGGTACTGTATATGGGAGGATGTGTGCAGGCTATGTGAAAATACTATGACATTCCATGTGAGGGACAGCCACAGGATTTAGGTATCCAGGTGGGCCATGGAACTGTTCTCTGTGGGTACAAAAGGACCACTGCATTTCCCTGGTAATCATCTACTTAGACAACAGAGTATCTCTCCCTATAAAAAAATTATTACATACTACAGGGTTCTAAACATGACAGACTATTAGAGTACAAAGATGAGGTCCTTAACATGAGGTCCTTTAATAATGTAGCTTTGAGGGAATTCTGAGAAGTTTCCCCTCGGTACAAATTGCTTTCAGGGGGCTGTGAAGCAAATGTAAATGCTCATAGCAACATAAGCACATGCTGTGTGTAACTCACAGGACTTGAATCTTAATCAAGCATTGTTTTGACCAGAAGAGGTAGATGCTGGCTGTAAAAAAGATATGTATTTTCCTAAAACTCACTTATAAATTGGGAATAATATATGCACAGATATGTCTGGAATATTTTTTGTTCATGTTTTTTGTCTTTTGAGACCAGGTCTTGCTGTGTAGTTCAGCCTGTCCCTGAACTCACCATGTAACCAAGGCTGGCCTCAAACTTGCAGCGGTCCTTCTATCTCAACCTTCCCGCTCCACTTCCACTGCAACTGAGTGCTGAAATTATGGGTGTGGGCCATCTCACCCAGCTATGTCTGGAATAATTAAAGTAGCTATTGAAGTCCAAAATGTTAGTTTTTTTTTTTTCATTAGAATTGCACCTGTACTTTACATCGACATGAAGCAGACATCACGAGTAATCTTCAGATTGCTTGTGTGCAGACCCAGTTAAGAAGGAGGTGAGAATGGTGTTTATTTTCTGAGGGCCCCAAGGATACTCCACTTCACCTCAGGAAAAAAAAAAAAAAAATGCTTGTTTTGGAAAATAGTCCAAATGCAAAGTCTTCTAAACAACCATGATCATATGTCAAATCTGAATTGTGTGCCACTTTGCCCTGGCTTTCTTATACTCCCTTTTTGTTCTATATTTAAAAAAGAAATAATTTATGTTTTGCCAGGGGAAGGTTTTCAAGTATTGCTTTTGCAAGAGCAATTAAAAAATGAATTGTGGGCAGTCTTTAGAATGAGTGCTTCATTTCTAAAGCTATTGAGATAAAGGTTAAATTAAGCCTGCAAGAGTTCTCTCAAAAGCAATTTTGGAAAAGAAAGTACTGTGCAAATTGTAGTCGCAAGGGACTCGCATAGACTCAACACAAGCCTTTATTGTTCAGCAACTGTGGCGAGCACATTGTAAGGCTATTCTTGACATTTCAATAACAACAACACAGAGAGAAATCAGGACAAAATGCCAATCAGAATAGGTGAGAAATAAGAAGAGCTGTAATAAATGTCAAGTTCACAAGGCAAGTTGGTACACTGTATAACAAAGAGTTGTCAAAAATATTGTGTCCAGTACTTTATTCTGTTTCATGAATTCAACTCTCCTTCACCCAGCTCTGCCCTGGGAAGTGGCACCGGTGACCTCCCATACCTGACAGGCATCCCAAGGGCTGCCCAGGAGCACTCAGACAGGGAGTTTTGTGCAGGTCCCAGACAGGCGGGGTGTCCTCACCAGTGTTCAGAAAGTGTAATGACCTTGAGAGGGTGTGTCCTTCCACCGGACACTACTGTTCCTGTCCTACTCTTGTTTCAGCTAGCGTTGACCCTGTCTTTCTCTTGTCCTGTCAGATCTAAGGGTGGGAACAATTACGCTTCTGTGGTTATTGTTATAAAGTCAACATGAGTGGGGTCACAGGAAGCTCAGGTAGGTGGTTAAATATACTTTCTAGGTGTCTGTAATGGTATTTCTGGGAAAGATTAGTGAACAGAGTAAAGAAATGTCCTTCCGCAGTGTGAATAAGCATCCCCAATCCGTAGAGGCCCAGACAGAGCAAAGATGCACAGGCAGCTACAGTGCACTTTCTCCCCTTCCTCTTCAGCGGGCCCTAGATCTACTCCATAGCATCTGTCTCACTGGCTCCCAGGCACCTTCTCAGCCCCTCCAACTATACCACTGACTTCCCAGACCTGGCGATCTGCAAATCCTCTCAGCTTCTGTACTCACAGGAGACAGCATCTTATGATAATTTGCCTACAGGTTCTGCTTTTCTGCAGAAACTTCAGTCATAGAGCTGCATCATCTCCATGACAACCCTATCATCTTGTATATTATCAGCCTTTTATGAATAAATCCTCCTCTACTATTCCTAGTTTGCTCACCAATTGCTATGCCCTTGATATCTTTTATCAATAGGTATGAACAATTAAAAATAGTAAATAATTATAGGGTATGAAAAGAATTACTATGATATATAAATGAATTACAAGAACTAAAAGTAAGGGAAGAGAAGAGGAACATAATAGAATGGAAAGAGCAAGGGAAAAGCTTGCAATATGCCTCTTTCCATTTCTTGTTGAAAGTTCTGTCCTCGGGAAAGCCAAGCTTAAGACTGAAATCTGGGTCAAGTCTTCCACTGAGGCCGCTTGGACACTGGCAGCAGCTAACCAGACGATGAACCAACAGCATGTCTTATCCTCATGCCCTCACTACATCCACTTAACTGTTTAACTGTTTATCTGTTGCTTACTATTCACATGATACAGAAAAATTCTCCTCCTAAAATAAATATCCCAAAAATCTCCACACATGCCAAACAAAGCATGAGAGGGTTTAGATGATCTCCAGTCCTCAGCTTGCCTTGCCTCCTACTTTCCAAAGACAACACTGGCAAATGGACATACATCTTACATTTTAGGATTTTTAGTACACTTGTACAAAAATGAAAAACAAATTTTAAAAATAGAAGAATGGCATGTGCATATTTATTTAAAACTAGCTTTTCATCTAACTATAGTGTTTTGGAGGTTGTGTCTTATCAGTAAGCACATGGAGGTCTCTGTGATAGTCTTTTGAAAGGACACATAGTATTCAGTAGCAAGATTTTTACTGTGGCTGCCACTGATGGACATTTTTTATTGATTTTCCAGTTTTTCTTAATGACCCTCTGAATATTTTTGTGTACAACTTTAATAGAACTGCTTTATCAGTACATAATTTGCATTACCTATCTGGCCCCCAAAGTGGTAATCCATGCATCAGTCAACTCTGGGGTCACTGCATGTGGGGAGAGCCTGAAAAAGAAAGTCAGTGAACCAGACTAGCACATCCTGGGTATTCATTCACATTATTTGCCCATTACCAGCAAGTATTACAGAAGTTTTATCAAATGATTGCTTACTGTGTTCATCATAACACTTTCACAATCCTATTTTATTGTGTTCAAGTTCATTCATTGTTTTTTTTTTTTCCCTACTAGAATATAAACACCATGAGACAGCAGAAGCTGGGACATATTAGGCAAGTGGTAATAGCTGTTTGTTGAATGAATGGGTGGGTAGTGAGAATCAAGAAAAGGAAAAGTAATCCCAAGTCCTACAAATCCTAATGGGACAGAGGTGCAGTGGTGATGGAGAAACCTAAGGAGGCCAAGCCCTGCCCTGCCTCTGGGACAGGGAGGACCCTGAGCATCATCACTGAAGGCTGAAGTAGGTGTACTGAGAGCTGCTTTTCCAGGGAGCCTTGTCCCCAGAAAAACCAGGAAGAAACCAGTATGCCTTACACCAGAGGAGTCCTGAATGCAGATGGGGACTGAAGGGCCCATTAGACCCGAGCTAGTGAAGGTCAGGGAGGGCACAGAGAACATGACATGGGCCAAAATTGATTTTCCATGGCCTCATGAGATGAGGCACTGCAATATAAATTCAATTGAGTGATTTATTAAAAGTAAATAATTTCATTTATTGCAGATATGTGTTTGTGAACTGAGATTTATACTCACCTCAAAAGCTAATTGCTACTTATTTCTGTGAGGATAATTGGCATGGAAAAGACCAGATGTTGGCAAGGAAAAGAAAGAGTAAGCAATTGGCCAATGATCATTAGTGATTTCCTAAGTGTGGCCTTGGGAGAGGTAAGAATAGATGTGAGAAACCTTCCCCATGGGTTAGAATCATATGTCAGCAGCTAAGGGAGAAAGGACAGAGCTGAAATGAGTGTCAAAGAAGCTTCCCTTAATTTGGAACTTAACACTTAACAATTTGAACAAGTGCCATACAGTGTATACCATACAGTGCATACTCTGGAAAGCTCAGCACCAGCCAAAAGCTTGACATTGACAAGGAGGTAATAAAAGGAATTTAATCCTCCAGATCTGACAAGTATGGCCTACATTTCTAACATCTACTTGTAATAATGACACAAAACATTACACTATAGGTCTATTTCCCTTAGTTCTTGTTACATGATACAACACATTCAGTTTTCAACAAAAATTACAAAGAAAAAAAATAGTAAAATGAAGAGACAAAGTGGTCATCATACCCAAACTCAAACATGAGACAGTCTTTCAATTAACTATGTTTAAAATGATAAAGAGTCAAATGAAAAAGTAGATGCCAAACAAGACAAGATGAGTAATGTAAGCAGACAGAAGGAAACCCTAAAAAAAGAGTTAAAGGAAATGTTAGAAATCCAAACCAGTGTAACATAAATAAAGAATGCCTTTCTTGAGCTCATCACTCAACTCAACACTGCAGAAGACAGGCTGATTGAGCTTAAAAATAGATCCACAAAAACTTTTCAGACTGAAATACAGAGGTAGAAAGACACTAAAAAACAAACAATAATTATGAAAGTTGAACAAGACATCTTAGCCTTTTGAAAAAAATTTTAAAGGTGTCTATAGTCAGCAAAAGTCTTCCTCAAAGTGACAAAGAAAATAAGGACTTTTTCAGAACAACAAAAACAAGGATTTCACTTGTGTACATCTTTCCTTCAGGAAATGTTGAAAATTACTTCATACTGACAAAAGGAAAATTATACAGTTAAACTACTCAGATCAATCAAATGGAAAAAAAAGAGTATAAGATAATGAATAACTATAGGTGAAACAGTATCCTTTTTGTCTTGGTTAATTTTCTCTCCTTGCTAGGACAAAATACCTGACGCCCAAAATTAAAGAAGGAAAAGTTTATTTAGCTTATACTTTGTGGAGGTTTCAGTCCATACTTGGCTGGTTCCAAGGAAGAGTGACACATGGCAGAGGGCTACAGTTCATGGAGGCAGAATACAACAAAGGCACAAGCACAAAAGGGAGGAATGGCGGCAACAGCCTCTTTCTCTCCCTTACATATGCAAGCTATCCACCCTAGGGAAGTGTAGCACTCACACCCAGGAATCAAAACTCTAAAAGCCTGCCCCATGACTGCAGGATTTGGGGGGACATGCAGACACAAACCATAATACTTTTATTTTTCTCAATGATCAATTTATCTAAAATATACAAACTTAGCTAAGTTACTAATGATAAGGATGAGAGAGAAGGAGAAATTATAATACTGTATTATAAGACCACACTAGATATGCAGTAGTATACTACTATTTGACAAGGAATTTCAAATACTAAAAATGCACACTGTAGATATCAGACAAAACTATTAATTCTTTTAAAAAATATATCTGATATACCAAAGGAAGAGATGAAATTTAATTATAAATTGTTCAATTAAAATCAGAGAGGTAATGAGCAAATTCAACAAACAGAAAGCAAATATGTACATAGTAGACATTAGTTCTAGTATATCAATAATCATTTTAAACCTGAATTATCTCAATACACAATTAAAAAACACAGCTGTTCTAAGAGGACAAAAATAACAAGACCCAACTGTATGCTGTCTGCAAGAAATCAACTTTAAATGTGTAGCTTCAGAGAGGCTTAAAAATAAAAGTGCAGAGAAAGATACAGCACTAAAATTGATCAATGAATACTCTGGTAGTTACTTTAAGTCAGATAAAGAATACTACAGAACAAAGAAGATTGTTGAACATAAGGGTCAGTTCTTGAAGATAACATAACCTTAGATGTGCCTAATAAAAAAATGTCAAAAGCCATGAGGCAAAACCAAATAGAATTCAAAGAAGTAGACAAACAGTATTATTATTGAAGACATAAGCATCCTCCTATCAATAATGTAGTAGACAAAGCTGGCAGAAGATCAGTGAGATATAGATTAAATTTAAAGTGCTATTGTAATGGCAAATTTATTAATGGAAAATTTATAAGAATCTTATAGTAGAAATTAAGAATCAGTCAATAGCCTCTGACTATGCTCATCCTATTTGCCACATAATTAGACCACTAAGCTCAGTCAGCCTTGACTGTGTCCAACTGTTTCTTACAAATACCAGGCTAAGTCAATCTGACCATATGCAGCTGTAATATCTGTGTTTTCCTTCTTAAAAATATGTATATATCTAGCTATATTTCAGCTTACTTTAAGGACTTTACACTTCATGCCCAGAACAGACTGGCCCAGTCAAGGACACATTCAACTCCACCCACTCTGTTCAAGCCCCCTCCCTTCCAGAATGTTCCTGTCTAATGATAAACAATTCCTTTTAAATAAACTTACTTAGTACAAATCTGCCTAACAACCTATGACTTCTTATAATCCAAGTAACCAATCATGTAATAACCAACTATAAGCAGTGTATTTCCCTTTGCAAAAGGGGAAATACTGTATTTATACCAGAGAAGGAGAAATTATAATACTGTATTATAAGACCACACTAGATATGCAGTAGTATACTACTATTTGACAAGGAATTTCAAATACTAAAAATGCACACTGTAGATATCAGACAAAACTATTAATTCTTTTAAAAAATATATCTGATATACCAAAGGAAGAGATGAAATTTAATTATAAATTGTTCAATTAAAATCAGAGAGGTAATTCAAAGCTGACTCTGGGCTGATGATCTGGAACTGGTTCCCATTAGTCCATTAATTGTACATTAAAGTCATCTTCCACACTCCTTGATGTGGAGCATTTTCCTTTTGGTCCTGGATTTTTCCCAGAACACTATCACTTAATCTATTTGATCTAATTGATCAAGCACTCCAACTGCCAGCAGCAGAATATAAATGCTTTTCAAGACCATATGAGACATTCATTGAAACTGATGATATTCTGAACATAAAAAGACCTTTTATTCATGTCCTTAATAAGTGAATAGAAATTAGCAAACTATACTCCATGGTCACAACAGACAGTACAAATTAATAATTAAGAGGTGGCTGGAGAACTCTCAACTATCTACGGAAGAAAGAGCATACTTCTATGTTATTTAGAGATGACACAGGGGCCAAAGAAGTTGTCTTCAGAGAAATTTAAAACAGTTTGAAGTAAATAAAAATAAATCAAAACTTGAACTCAGAGAGTAATACATGACATTGAATGTATATACTATTCCAGAAAAAGAAGGAAGATCTAAAACCAATAACCTCCAATTCCATCTTCAGTAACTAAAGAAAAAAATGCAAGCTAAGCTTAAAATAAGCAAAATAAAATAAAGCTTAATAATTAGAGCAAAGATCATTACAATTTGAAACTAGAGAAAAATTAAAGGAAAACCTAGTTCTGAAGGGTGATTTAAATTGATAGACCTGTAATCAGATTATCTAAGAAAGAAAAGACAAATGACACAAACAATTAATGCCAGTGATGAAGGAGAATTATCAAGACCAAACCTAGGGAAACAGTGAAAATAATCAAGAAACAGTTTTTGATAGTATTTGCTAACCAAGAGCAACTGGATCAGTTTCTCGGAAGACAGGAACCTCTTAAACTCATACAGGTTGAAGTGGATAACCTGAATAGTCCTGTTAAACACATTGAATCAATAGTTTATAATTTATAAATGAAGCACAAGAAGATCTTTTCATTTTTGAATTCTACCCAATATTTTAGAAAGAATTTACATAAATTACTTTCAATCTTTTCTAGAAAACAAAAGCAGAGAAAACATGTACAGTGATCCCTCACCTATCACAGGAGTTATGTTCCAGAGACTCCTGTGATAGGTGAAAATCTGTGAAATAGCAGCTTTATGTTTTTTATTATTTATATATATTTTAAGGCTTTATAAACACTTCCCACACTCCTATAAACCTTTCCCACTCTCTTACTAACCTTTCCCACACTCTTATAAGCACTTAATATGCTCTTAAACACTTTCTACACTACTAAACCTATGTAATTTTAAGAACATGTAAACTTCAATATGG